TCTGTGATACTGCCTTGGTTAGGCAACTTTTAGGAGAGTTGGAGTTGGCCTCTAACTCAGTTGTCTATACGGGATCAAGTGAGACAGAGCAGTTAACTAATGTATTTAGGGTCAGGTAAGCCAGAGTACTGTTTATTTGAAGGAGAAAGATAAAAAAAATACAAAAGCACCCTACTTTCCACTGACTAATCAATTACCTGTCAGTGGAGTTTGCTGAGATGCTGCTCTTCACCTGCAGAACAGACTCCCTTCTGAGGCTCCACTCTATTTTCTTTTCATATATTTTGGTTTTTTTTATTTATTTTCATTTACCACTGGCACAGGACTTCCCACTTCTCTTCAGCAGACACAGAGTGCCTAGAAATTAAAGATGGCTATACTCATTAACCAAATGAGAAAATTGTCTTCACCAGCTGTCATGACAATAACCCATCATTCATTATTTTCATGAAGTTGCCATTTGCTACACTTCAGGACACTGATCTTTAGCTTCATGCACATCTGCATTGCAGCTACTTTCATGGCTTTAGATTAGTGCTAAACTAAGCTCCATCCTGTCAGTTCAGTGCAGCAGGTTCTCAACTATCACTGCATGACCATGACTGACTCCTGAGAGGTTTTCTACTTTCTCTTTTTTGTGCTTTTTTTTTTTTTAATTATATTGGATGGTGCCTTACTGTGAAGATAATACATCATCAAGGCAAGAAAAAATCAGTTCTGTCAATGCATCTGTTCCAAGGGACAGCAATCATTATTCTAAAAAGCTATCACTTCTATCATTTTACAATGCTTACAAGCCCGCTTCCTTTTATTTTTCCCCCTTTTTTTTTTTGTTCATTTATAATAAAGAGAATTCATGCATCATAAATACACTAGGTAAGTATTTTTAAAATGACAGATTTAAAGTCTAAAAGTGATTTGTATTTCATTACAGGTGAGAAGTCTAAAGAAATGCGTATTTTTATAAACAAAGTAACAAGATTTACTTCTGTCCTACACTTTCAAACTATATGATATATATATATATTCTGATACTCCCTTAAAGGCTCTGAGAAATAAGGTCTGAACCTCTGAACACAAGGTGTATTTTTTAGGTACCCATCTGACAAGAGATGCATGGATGGATTGCTGAACCACAGTTTGTTGGAGAAAGGAGCTTCTGCATTTTGTCCCTAAAGGAATGACTTCAAGGCTAAGTACAGTTGTCCATCTGTTAGTTAACAGGGATGTTTTGCCACACAAAAGCATAGTCTGCTAAGTCAGAGGACCTTCTTTCCAACAGCTCTGAATGCTCTTGATCTCTGGTCTGATCCTGTAGGGTTTTGCAAACTCTGAAACCACTCATCTGTTCTCCAAGGCAATGGTGCATTGCTTTTAGAAGAAACTGGACTCCATTTTTCCACTCATTTTTAATCACCACCACCCCTCACACACATAAACCACCAGTGTGTCAGACACTTACAAATTGCAGCAGGCATTTGAGTATTGAGAAGGCTGATAAGCAGTTGATTCAAGCCTGTGAGCAGTGACCAGTGACTTACCTTGGTCCTAGTCTTATAATACATCGTTGCCAAAATCCTACCACAGGTCAGTAACTATTTCACCTTCTTTGTGACCTCTTATTTCCTCACAAACTCCAAATATTACTCACCCTGTGAATGCAGTAGTTGTGGGGTTAATTTTTTTTTTTTCCTCAGTCAAATAGATTTTGAAAAGCTTTAAGAAAAAAGGTGCAGAAGTATTGCTTCTGACAGAACCAGACAAATCAATTAATTGATCTCCGGCAGTCAGGGATAATTTTATTTCCTACTCTATTAAGGAAAATCAGCATTAGTTAGCTAATTTCACTAGAGAAAATGTCACCAGTTGTTAAGCAGCACATGATGGAAAGAATTAAAGATGGAAAACTCAAAAATGTTTTTTCCTTTAAGTAATGCAATAAGCAATTGCATTACTTATTACTCAGCCTTTAGAACTCTGGCATCAAGCAGCATTGCAAATCCTTTGGTTTGACCAAAAAAAGGTTTTCTTCTCCTGTAGCAGCACCTACAGCATTTAACCTTTGATGTCTGTTAATACTGGCACAGTTATATTTGTGCTCCAGAATAACATATATTTAACAGTAACTGACCAAACTACCTGCAACACGTAATTTGCTGACTGTTCCTGATATATATTTGCCAAAATCATAAAACCATGGCAAATGTTCACCAAAAAAAAAGTCATGATTTTTGTATAATAACTATTCATACAGGTACAGAAACATGATTCAAACAGCACAAGTTGTAGTTCAAATAGTTTAAGGAGCTTCCATTTCTCAGGGGGAGGGAGAGGTGGCTGTGCATGCATACAGATTTCAAAACAGTATCCAGTAAAATCAAAAATAGAACAGGGCCATTACCAGCAGCCTAACACTTTAAAGCACTTTGTGACTTATGGACAGCAGATCATGTCCTTAATCAAGCTTGATTAACTATCACCCAATGGTTCCAGAAGGGCTGATTCTCCCTAAATCATGTTGATTTATTCATTCCTTTATTTGAGTGGAGTGCTCTTCTTGAAAAGACTCGTGGTTGGCACAGCCACACTCTCCCAAAGGGCAATGCCTTCAGAAGGACTATTAGCCAAGACTAAGTGTTTTGGGAAATATTGCCCTTATTTCTGCAGCTGCCAAGTTCCAAACCAGAAATTTCTGCCTTGTCAGTTAGGCATACAGGAGCAAGACTATTCTGCATTTGTGGGCATATTCAGGATTTTTATTATGATTTTTTTATTTTGTTTTTGTACCAACATATTAGGAGGAAAAACAGATATAAATTATTATTAATGTGCTTCATTTTTGTTCATGCTTTTGAGGTAAAAAACCACAGCATGTTCGGTTCCCACAGAAAATAAGATTAATTTCACTTTCTCTGCTTTTCGGATTGACAACATTTCATAAATCACCTTTCTGACCTTCATCAGGATGGAATGATATAGATTCAATTTACAAGTCACTCAGAGAAGAAAAATGTTAGTTAAATAGAAAATACGCATCATTCTTAAGTCTACCACACTCTCATCTGTGGAGGCCACGTAAATCCAAGATATCCCAGATGTCTATAGCCAATATCAACAATGGCAATATAAAAATGTCAAAATTAGAAGTGTCCCCAAGTTAAAATGAAATTTGGCAAGCTCATCCACTTTCTTTTCACATGCTCATGCTACAGTGAGAGGGCCTGCTGAGCAGAGAAGTCAGCCAGAGGATAGTGACCAGCAAAGATGAGACACAAGGATTTTGCTGGAAATGCAAAGGTTAAAATGATGGAAAGAAAACAAATGTTATATTGTGCAGGATACATAGAAAGAAAAATTATTGCAAACAAATTAATGCAGTATAACCCATAGTATCATGTGTTTGGAATATTAATCAGTAAAGCAAGGTAAGTACCAGTGGGGAAAAAAGCAAAGGTAATTAGGAACTCATTAGTGTGACAGCTGAATATATTATCTGTGCTAGTGCTAGGATTACCCCCACACTAGAGATTTGATCTGACTGTCAAAGCCAAGGAAAGCATTTTACAGAAATGATTGAATGCAAAATCAGACCAATACAAGAAAAAACAGGCAAGTCATCACACTGGAACATGGAAAACTTCCTGGCTAACCTCTGAACAGCCTATTGCCTAAGTCCAAAAAATCATATAGCCCACAGATGGGAGTGGATTTTCAGTTGTGAGGAAGATCAAAGACATTAAAGTGATCACCAGAAACCAAGGAAAAACAAAAATCTATAGTTAGATTCTTCCTTCTGTTATCATAAGGATCAGAATGCACATGAGATTTTTTTTTTAATAGCTTGGATAAACTAAGCAGCTCAAGTATAGAGGTTTCTTTTTCAGTTTGACACCAGTATTTGACATAGTCAGAATGTTCTCTAACATAAAGTTGGTGCATATTCTCTTGGAGAGAGCAACAGAATGACAGATACCAGCTGTTAAAACCAAATAGAGCTGTGTTTCCTTCATTCAAGTTCCCAGCATTTTTCCCACACAGTTCATAAAGCAAATAAAATACCAAAATGCCTGATGGAAACAGCTCTACCTAATCCATCCCAATATCTGAAACAATTCCCTAGTTTTCGTGAGGGAAATGGTGCTTGAGATAGACAAATCAGCTGTGAACCACCTCTATGCCAAGCTAAGGCTTGAAAGAGAATATGTAGTGTTCTGTAAATATCAGCTGTGGTAGGTAAAAGAAAATAGTATTCCTCTAGACCCACAGTTTTCCATTAAGTACCTTCTTTTAACCTGAGTGTCCCCCTCTCCCCCAAAAGTACTTCTTTGTCTAATTTTTCTTCACTGAAGAATACCTGTGGGGTGCAAGATGCAAGCTGAGCAACAGCTCACACCTGGCCAGGCTTCTTCAGAGTCATCAGGTTGTTAAAAATCTACTAAGAAGAGTGATGCAAAAAAAATAAAGGCAAAAATTTAACTAAACCAGAGCTGTACATCTTCTTCTAAATTATGGGGATGTGAAAAATCAGTGTGGACACCAGAAGCAGAGCTTTAAACAAGTACGAGTATTCATTTTTCCTTCTGAAACGGTGGGATTCAGCTAACTTTCATTAAAAGAATATAGTCATTAAATTTATGGCCCTAAAATGAAATTGTTTGCATTATAATTCAATGCAGCTATCATTTACCACAGAGACTCAAAATCAGCCCAGAAGCATTTAAAATTACCATTGTACTTATATTTGAACAAGGGCCTAAAATAATTTGGAGCATTACAACATTGTGTTGCAAAAACAAGTCAGTCAGCCTGAGTTTATAGTGAAAGTAATGAACATTGATCTTCCTTGACAGCAATGAAAGCCCAATGACATCCTTCTCTGCCCTGGAGATTGCATGAAATATAACTTCACTTGGCAGAAAAGAACCTGTTTTGCAATTTAACTCTTTTCTGTAGGTTGCTCCTCTGTTGTCAGCTGCATATTAATGGAAACATCAACTTACCCTCTCTGGAAGAGGTCCACATTATGGAATTTGTGTAGCTCCACAGAAAACTCGACCGTTCCCTGAACCTCAGACATGGCTTTTTCAGGTCATCACCTAAATAACACATATATAAAGACATTGTAAACGTTTGAAGTATTTTACTTAACAAATCCATGAATGGATGATTTCATTTTAGCTGGCATCTTGGGGTCCATGCAAAGCTTGAAACTGACTGGAATCAATTGGAATCTTTCCAATGACATCATTTGGCTCCATCTTCAGGAAAACTTGCTAAAAGCCAGATCAAAGCAGTAATTAAGAGAGGTAAGAAGTCTAATTAAGCCTGAGGACAGAATGATAATATTATGAAAAGTATAAGAAGCAAAAAGTAAATAACATATTATGTGCAAGAATCTCAAAGCAAATTTTAATTAAGTCTCTTGCTGCTCTTGTATGGGAAATTGATTTTTTTTCCTTCTCATTTTATGAAATGGCAGATTTCCAGGGTCAGCACAGCTCATTTCTGTAAAAGCACAGGCCAGAAAGACAAGAACCCTAAACAGATGAGAGCAGAATTCAGATTTCTCTTTCTTTTGACCCCTCCTATGACTTAAATAAAGTCCCAGAAGGGAAGCTCCTGAGGGAATATTAATAATTTAAATATTAATGAATGGAAGATATTCTTTTAAAGAAATTGCTGTCAGTCATGGCACCTAATAGGCCACAACAGTCAGATCAAGATTTTGAAGCATTACAGCCATTTACACAGTACATCTCATGTGCTTATTGAATCACAGAATAATTCAGGTTGGAAGGGACTTCAGGAGGTCATGCCTCACTCAAGGAAGTAAGTTTCCAAACCAGCTCTATTTAATATAAAAGTGTAGATCCTTAACATTTCTCTAATTATAGCAGAGGCAAGCCAAGGACTTTTACAGCTTTTGGACAGATTTTCAATTATTATTTCGCCCTTCCTTCCTTCCCCCCCTCTCCCCGCCCCCACAAATGTACTTCTGGAAATCTGCCAAGCTGCCTGGAAATTTTCTGTAGGATCAATGAGAGGATAAAGATTAAATTTTTTTCATTAACACATTCAGAAGCAACATTTTAGTTGTTGTTTGACAGCAGCCAAGTGCAGTCTCTGAGGAAGACCCATGTCAGGGCTCTTAACAATTCCCCTTTCTGAGACATACAGGGCATTAAAGGGATATGTAGCTCAGATGCAAAATGAAAAATTTCTCCAGAGGCGCTAATCAATAATTTTCATGGCACTCATAGATTTGACTGTGTCCTTTAATGAAGCAGGAGTGAAGAGGATTTTGATACATGAAGTCCTCAGATAAGCATTAGTCTTTAGATTTCTCAAGGCTTGCTCCTGATTAGTAATTTTCCAACTGACTGGCTTATTACACTGATTATTTTAAACGAAGGTTTTTTTCTGGCTATCCTCTCAAGCACTACAGTTTTTCAAAAATATCTCATTCCAGAGTTAAAAGGTTATTAATTTTTCATTCACCATCCTCAGACTTTGGAATGACAATAATGTGATGTAAAATACATGTAATGTATGTGTATAACTGTGAGAAAGAAAAAGAAAATTGCTGAGCTACACATCTGATAGGCCTCTGAGGTAAGGAACTCCCCTGTAGCTTGTGTCAGGCCATGATTTCAGGGTGTGCTGAAGGTATGTTCAAACTCTATTACTTGTCAGAGGATCACAGAATAAACTAGGTTGGAAAAGACCCTTGGGATCATGGAGTCCAACCTATGACCTAGCACCACCTTGTCAACCAGAACAAGGCCCTGAGTGCCACATCCACTCTGCTTAAACAACTGCAGGGACAGCGACTCCACCACCTCCCTGGGCAGCTCATTCCAATGCCCAATCACTTTTTCTTCCCAATATCCAGCCTAAACCTCCCCTGCTGCAGCCTAAGACTGTGTTCTCTTGTCCTGCTGCTGCTGCCTGGGAGAAGAGACTGACCCCAAGCTTCTGCACCCTCCTGTGGGGAGCTGTGGAGTGATGAGGTCTCCCCTGAGCCTCCTCTTCTCCAGGCTAAACACCCCAATCTCCTCAGATGCTCCTCACAGGAATTGTGTTCCAGACCCTTCACCAGCCTTGTTGCCCTTTTCTGGACCTGCTCCTGTCGGAACTCAAAATGTCCCTCAGACATTTTTGGAGGTTCCAAGCCCTGGTCAGAAGCATTTGAGACCCTGGCAGGCAGCTGGAAACAGCTGTGATTTTGGTTTTGAGCCATGGAATGATTTACCAACTTTGCAGGAAGAACAAGAAGTCACAAAAGTTTAGATATTATAGTAGAAGTAGTTACAGAGTATAGGGAAGAATTTTTTTAGTGCTGTACAGGGAGGTTTTAACACCTGTACAGGGGGGTTTCTGTTTTGTACATGGGGGTCAGAGGTTTTAAGATGGAAGGACTTTGGCAGGTCCTGTCCTTCCTCTTTCTTCTTCCTTACCTCCATGTTCTTGGTGATGTTGGCATTCACAGTTTGGTTTAGAGTAGAAAAGCACCTTGTAACATATGTAGTAGGTATTGGGGAAAAACTGTAAACATCTATCACGTAATGTACCATATAAAAGATAGCAGCAGCCAGGGGTGAGAGGAGAGAAGAAGACAGCAGACAGAGAGGGTGTCAGGGGTGTGTGTGCCTCTGCCTGAGCTGCTGAGCAAACCGCAGCAGCCCGAGAAGACAATCTTTTAGATAGCTAACAATGAACAACCATGAGACCGAACAACAAGAGACTGCTGAGCCTTTCTTTGGAAGCACGGGTTGGAGGAGAAGTTTTTTCACCACACGAAGCCACCCCGCGACCCAGGGTGGTCTTTGACATGCTCCAGCACCTCAACATCCTTCCTAAACTGAGGGGTGCAGAACTGGACACAGCACTGCAGCTACAGCCTAAGGAGTGCTGAGTACAGGGGAAGAGAAGTAATACTTTTTGTTTCCTTTGTCCCCCATTTCAACAGGAAGGAAACTCAAACTTTGTCTTTTTGCTTTTCGGCACAGGGTGTACACAGTTTGTAAATCAGGGATATGACATATCCACCAGGTTATGTGTGAGTGTCTCTGTGTGTGACAGTCCTGCCTGAGTCAAAAAGCAGAGTGTGTGGGAAGCTAGTAGGAAACCATGCAAACCACAAAGCAATTCTCTGACAAGGTATTTAGTCTTGAGGAGAGCGCTAATTAAAAGAATTGCCTTTGGCAATATATCTGCATGTTGGGCTGAGGCATATTTCCCTAGAGCAAAAGCTCAGGATCAAAGGAAACTCCTTGCTTTTGAAGACACCAGTGTAAAGAGGAGAGGTGTGAATGGATGGCCAGCCAGTTCAGCCCAGTACCAGTATTGTCAAAGACAGAAATTATGATGTGAAGTTAAGATTAATTAAGCTATAGGAAAATTTTAATAGATGGAAATACACACATCTTCTCTATATTTGCACTATATTTTTCAGGCTTTCACCTCTCCAAAACAAATAAAGTTGTCCTAAAACAAAAAATACAACAAGCAACAAAAAACCTGTTTCTGTAACTTTATTTCCCTCACTATCACCAGAATTAAAGTGTAAGCACCTGCTACACCAGTTTGAACTTCTATTCACCCTATCAGCACACCAGAAGATCAGATCACCCACATCTACACCCCCAGCACTAGAGCCTGGTACTTCAGGGAGCACCTCACAAGTACCAGAAGGGGCCTCTGGTTCCCCTTATTTTCATGGCACTTAGCAAGGTTCAAAGAATCCTGCTTAGACACATGGGTATAATTCTTCAATTCAAGAAGCTATGAAATCTGACAAAATAGCTGCAGGCACCACTGGATCAAGAAAATATTAAGTAATTAAAATTATGCACTAATTTTTAACTTTTGTACCAGATGCCTGCTTAAAGGAACCTTATCATAACCCTCCAAAATCCAGGGCTCATGAAGGACTTCTGATCAACCCTTGTGTGGACAACCTTGGGTTATAAATAGAGCAATAGTTGGTAAAAATAATACTGAAGGTTTCCATGACATCACTATTGTAAAGACAATAGGGAATGCTGCCAGTATTGAAGTATCATCACTTATCCAATAAGCAGTTTAAAGAAAAATGTAGAGGTCATATTTGGAAAGGCTTTAGTATATTTGGACTTGTGAAATGTCTGTTTCTATATCAAGCTCCTTGCATTTTTCAAAATAAACCTTAAGACAACACTAATAAATATCAATGCAAAGCTAATAAAGTAATAGGGGAAGTGTTTTGGCCATCTGCTCCCGTGAAAGTAGTGCCATGGTCACCCTGGTGACCCCAAAGCACTGGATTTCTTCAGATGGAGCTGCCATCGTCACTGGCTGTGCTGTGCTGTCCTACATGCACCAGTGGCACCAGTCAGGTCACCAGTTTGTCCTTCCAGCTGGAGCTGGTGTCCTAGCAAGGGACAGGCAATTTCCTTTGTCACTTAGAGCAAGGACACATCAACTGAAAATCAGAATCCTTTATACAAATAAAGCCTATGAAAATCTATATGTTTAAAGACTGGAAACTATCTCACTTGCATTTTTAAAGGAAGGCTGGATTTTACTCCCCACATCCCCATTGCTGACAGTGGAAATACCTTCTGCATTGGAGACTGTTCAAGAAATTATACTGGCTAAATGCAATCTTTTTAATTTACAGTATTTGTACTTAATGGCATTTTAGGGATCCAGTCACCTGACCAAGCCCTCTGCCAGGAAGCGATTAGTTGATTATGTACCACGGACACCACTGTTAAAGACCTTGAAGATAAAAATGAATCTGACAATTCCCCACTGGAATAACAATCACTGACACCCCAAACAAAGGGAGCTAAGACAGACGAGATGGGGAGAAAGCACATTGAATAGAAGGACAGGACAATACATAATCTGACAGTTTATGAACCTTCTAGCCTTTGCACAGCTACATCCAAGCAAAAAACAAACCAGATTTTTAAAATATAAACTACTCTTTTACTTTTTTGTGTGTGTGTGCTTTTACAATTCTTAAGTATCTCTAGTATAGAAAAGGGTTTTTAAAAAAGAAAAAAAGGCAAAATGCACCAAGGACTAAAGAATGAAATACCATGTGACC